CATCTCCCAGTGGGATGGGCTGGGATTATAGGCACCAGGCTAGCCTGACCTCGCACTCCAGGGGACTCTCCTGTTTGGCCTCCCATCTCCCTGTGGGGTGGGCTGGGATTACAGGTACTACTGCATCCGGTTTCTATGTGGCTTCTGGGGACCCAAACTCGGTTTCTATGTGGCTTCTGGGGACCCAAACTCAGGTTGTCGGGCTTGTTCAGTAAGTAACACCACAGCCCATGCCAAAATTCATCACCTAGGACTGGACAGACAGCTCACAGGTAAGAGAGCTTGTGCTCTTGCAGAGGACTTGAGTTCAGTCCCCAGCACCCGGGGAAGTGGCTCACAACCCCTCCAGCTCTGGGGACCCCAAACCTCTGCTGCACTCACACGAGTACACCTACATGCACGGAAGTTAACAGCAGGGCCGGGGGCTTCTGCTGTGGCTTCCCCCGTAGTCTGCAGATGGTGGGGCTTTCCTTGGGAAGCAGGGGAGGAAGCATCTCTGCTGAGGCAAATCATACCACGGGCGTGCGCCGTGGACCTGGAGAGCGCGAAGCTCGCAGCACCACCACAGGGCAGGCGCACCTGCTGTGGCGCCTCAGGGTGCCCTGGGGCCTGCCCACCAGCCATGGAGGCTTCAGAACATGGTCCTGTTGTGTCCACCACCACCCCTTTTCAGAGCCGGAAGTCTGAGGTGTAGTGCTGGCCAAGAGGCTCCACCCACAGGCCTCTTCTCTGATGTAGTGGGTGGCGCCCATGTGCCCTGACATGGAGGGCAGGGGACGACTGACGTAGTCGGGCCTCTCCTTTCACCACACAGCACCTGGGAATCCTGAGGCCACGAGGCTCGGTGGCAAGCGCCTCTGCCTGCTGAGCTGTTACACACACCCGCTGGATGTTCACCCTGAATTAGAGGTGGCGCAGACCGCCCTTTGCTGCACACACTCACCTGTGTGTGACCCTCACCCTCCAGACTCCTGAGAAGCAAACACCTCACCGAGGGCCGAGGGCCAACGTGAGGGCAGCGAGCCCTTTCGGTGGCAGCCAGAGCTCCCCGAGGCCTGGGGAAAGGTCTGTGCTGGGACTAAAGGCCTGCCACCAAGTTGGATCACGTTTTTCTTTAAAAAAAAAAAGGGGGGGGGGGAGCTGGAGAGATGGCTCAGAGGTTAAGAGCACTGGCCGCTCTTCCAGAGGTCCTGAGTTCAATTCCCAGCACCCACATGGTGGCTCACAGCCATTTACAATGAGATCTGGTGCCCTCTTCTGGCCTGCAGGCATACATGAAGACAGAACATTGTATACGTAATAAATAAATAAATAAATCTTAAAAAGAAAAAAAGAAGAAAAAATAAGATTTATTTTATGTGTATAAAGTGTTCCTACATGTGTATATACACACCATCATGGTAACATTTGTTAGATCAGGGTTACATCAAATACAGAAGGTAGAGATAATTAAATTTCAATTATAATAGAGCTAATGGGGGGCTGAAGAGATGACTCAGTGGTTAAGAGTACTGGCTGCTCTTGCAGAAGACCCAGGTTCAGTTCCTGGTGGTTCATAACTGCCTGTAACTCCAGTTCCAGGGGCACTGTTCTGGACTTCATGGGCTCCAAGCATGCACATGGCATGTAACTGCCTCTGCCTTCTGAACACTGGGATTAATGGTGTGTGTCATCATGTCAAATTAAAAATTAATGTATATTTGTGTCTGTGTGTGTACACACACACACAAGCATGTCTGTCTGTGTGTATGCTATGATATGTGTAGGTGCCCACAGAAGCCAGAAGGAAGCATTAGGCAACACACTTGGAAACATAAAATAAGTAAATAAAATACATGGCTAACAGATCTATAATTCAGGGATTTCTGTCTCAGTGGCTTTGGTTATCACTTCTCTCTCCTGAAGACCTGCCTTCCTGACAACTTAGCCCTACTGGCTTCTACGATAACACCTAGCTCCACAGGGCATGAACTAGTAGACACAGTAGGCCAAGGTTCTCAAAGCAAGCTGCACCTCACTATGGCTGAAGTGTGCAGAGTTGGAAGGGTACAGGTCCAAAGCCATAGTCAAATCTATTACTGTCCTCAGAATACAACGTAAGGGTTGTTTTTGTTTTTTTGAGAAAAGGTTTCTCTGTGTAACAGCCTGGCTGTCCTGGAACTCGTTCTGTAGACCAGGCTGGCCTTGAACTCACAGTGATCCGCCTGCCTCTGCCTCCAGAGTGCTGGGATTAATGGCATGCACCACCACTGCCCTCCCAGCTTACACCATAAGGTTTTTGTGACAAATTAATTTTAATGAGATCTTTAGCAACCCTGGTAAGACCCATCTTTACTCTGCCTTCCCTACAACCTCCTCTAGTGGACAAAATCCTCATCTAAACGTCTTCTGCTCTGCCTGTACCGTCATCAGCTCTAGGTCTCTCCACCAGTCCTCTCAATAATCCCCACTAAGGGGCTTTTGAGATTCTCCACAGACCTCCGGACTTAGGCCTGTGATCACCCTGTAATAGCTCTTGTGACTCTTGGATTGGTAGGTGGGTCCTTTTAGTCAGGATATCCAGAGCTACACAGGGAAACCCTGTCGAGAGAGAGAGAGAGAGAGAGAGAGAGAGAGAGAGAGAGAGAGAGAGAGAAAATAATATTTCTTTAAAAATTTTGTTTTTGTTTTGTTTTTCGAGACAGGGTTTCTCTGTGCAGCTTTGCACCTTTCCTGGAACTCATTCTGTAGCCCAGGCTGGCCTTGAACTCACAGATTTCCACCTGCTTCTGCCTCCCCAAGTGCTGTGATTAAAGGCATGTGCCATCATGGCAGGCTCTGTTTGTTTTTTGAGACAAAGTTTCTCTGTGTAGCCTTGGCTGGAGACCAGGCTGGCTCAAACTAAGAGATCTGTCTGTCTGCCTCTGCTTTCTGAACACTGGGATTAATGGTGTGTGTCATCATGTTAAATTAAAAATTAATGTATATTTGTGTCTGTGTGTATGCTATGATATGTGTAGGTGCCCACAGAAGCCAGAAGGAAGCATCCGATCTCCTGGAGCAGGAGTTACAGGCAGTTGTGAGTATGGGTGCCGAGAACTGAACCCAGGTTCTCTGCAAGAGCAGTCAGTGCTCTTAACCACTGAGCCATCTCTCCAGTCTCTCTATTAGTTTTCTTCACACATTTTCTCTCTCTCCCTCTCTCTCTCATGTAAGATCTTGATGTTAGAATCCAGCCTCTGCTGGAATTGTGAGGAGTTCTAGCAGTGGGCCCAGGAGTGACAGAGCCGTAGTAAAGAAAGTTGGCCTGGGCTGGGTGTGGTGGTGCAAGCCTATAATCTGCAGAGGCAGGTGGATCTTGTTGGGTCCCAAAGAACCCTGGGGCAACTGTCTACCTGAGGTGCCTGTTTAACTTATCAAAGTAGCCGCTGGTCACCAGGTTCTCCCAGAATCTCTCAGCATCCCAAGTACCTGTTACAGAGTCATCCTGGCAGGCACACCCCGCCCCCTACCCTACCTCCACCTGTCTAGCCCTTCCCCCAGCTTCTCTTCTCTATATAACTCAGCCATTTTGCCTACTTGGTTTGTTAGTTTCCAGGTGCTGTCTTTGCTCCTTCTCTTTTCCTCTCCCTCCACACCCCTCTCTCCTCTCAGCCTGCTGGTCAAGTTCAGTCTGGATTCTTCCAGATGTCACTGGCTGTACTTTTCCTCATATCTACAATAAACCTTGTTGTCGACCATACCCTGGGGCAGCCATGTCCTCCTTTTTCATTCAGATATCTGTGATCTGTGAGCTAGGGGCTAGCCTCATCTCCAGTGGGAGTTCTGTGGCAGCCAGGGCTACAAAGTGAGACCCTGTCTCAAGGATAAAAAAGAGAACAAAAACGAATTTCTTTGAGAGAGGACCTCAGGTAACTCAGGCCGTCCTTGAACTCTGGACCCTCCCACCTCCTGAGCCCAGTGTGGCTGACAGGCATGCTTCACCACATCTGGTGCCATGAGCACCAACCCGCCCAGCTGGAGATGTTCATCAATCCCCAGACTTGACTCTCAAGCAATTATTTCGTAACTCCCCGACTCTTCCCCTACCAGTGCTACAAAACTCCTTTCAGGAAAGAAGGAAAGCTGAATTCGGAGAAGGAACGATCGACGCTCCTCCAGTACTTCCCAGGCTCACTAACAAGGATGGATCCCGGCAGTGCCACACTGCAGAAAACTTCCCGGCACTCGGAAAGAGCTGGGGGATCTGGAGTTTCAGGCTATCTTTGGCTACACAGAGTTCAAGCCAGCCTGGGCTACAAGAGACCCTGTCTTAAGACAGAGCGAGCCCCGCACAAAACCCAGGAGGTGGAGCGTGCCCCCCGATGCAAAATCCAGACACCGTGAGGCCAAGACACCCGCCGCCAACATCAAGTCCCGCGCACGACTCCGCGCCCCGCCTGGGACCCCAGCTCCCGAGCACGAACAGGACGCGCTCAGGGCCCGGGCCTCCAGTCTGGGAGGGACTCGGCCGCCCGCCGGCCCTGGCTCTGGCCTCTGGCCCGCCCGGCTGCGCCCCCCAGCTCACCCCGCGCTCCGCTCCGAGGAGTCCGCCATTTTCCCGCCTTCCACTCAAAGGCAGGCTTCTCGGGGCCCCGCCCGCGGGGAGGCCCGAGGACCGCGTAGCGCCGCGCCCGGTGGGTGTGCTCGGCACGCAGCGTGCCGGGCGAGCGCCGAGCTCGCACTCGGTGGGTATCGCCCAGGAAAGGGCGGTGTGAGAGGGCGTGGATTACAGACTTTCCTCACGGGCGCCGGCTTCCGGCCACACTCGCGGAGCGCGCTAGAGGCTAGCGGGGCAGGGGGCGGGGCCTCCACGGCGCCCCGCCCCCAGGGCGCCCCGCCCCTCCGCTCTACGGAGCTCGGAAACAGGAACGCACCAACCGCAGGGGGCGTCCGCGGTGGGCCCTCGGGTGGG